TGAAGATTGTACAAGAAGAAATCTTTGGTCCTGTATTATCTTGTAGAAAATTCAATCCATCTAACGAAGATATTATTGAAACTTGTAATAATTCTCCATACGGTTTAGGTGCTGCTGTTTTTACTCAAGATATTACTAAGGCTAATCTATTTGCTAGAGATATTGAAAGTGGTCAAGTTTGGGTTAATTCATCTAATGATGTTGATATGAATGTACCATTCCATGGTGTTAAAGAATCTGGTTTAGGCCATGAATTAGGTTCATATGGTTTGAAGAATTTTACTGCTGTTAAATCTGTCCACATGAACATTGATAATAGATTGTAATTATAATAATAAAACCTTAAATCCTGTATACGAAAAAAAGTATTTTCAACTTTTTTAAATAATTACATATATAGATATGATTTTTCTCTCTAAGAAACTCTTAATGATAAAAAGTAATAATAAAAAGTGTATAATATAAAATTTAGAATTTGTTTTTTTTTAAAGGGTAATAACGTGACTATTTTCGGAATTTACAAAAAGAAATCATATTTATAAACTTTTTTTTTTTTTTTTTTTTTAAGTGCAGCTTTTTTGGTACCTTGATAAAGAAACGACGATTTCAACACAAAAAGTAATAAAAAAAAAATTTAAAAAAAAAGAAAAAGGAAAAAGACAGATTTTTTTTTTTTTTATCTACAAAAAACCAACAATTAAACTAAATTTAAGGTATATAGTATCTTTTCTTATTTTGATTATTTAAATATTTATTTATTTTTTGTAATATTAAGCAACTAATATTATTTGATTAATTTAAGAAATAAACATCTATTATCAGTCAAAATTTTATTTACTCTGTTATCTTCTATTAGGAAAAAAAAACGTTTTTTAAATTTTTTTTTTTTGTGTTACAACTATTAAAATCTTTATAAAATATTTGTGTTTTAGTTTTTGAAGTTATAACTTTTTGTATTAGATTATTTTAGATAAATAAAACATTTATATTAAATTTATTGAATTCACTAATATCTATTTTAAAACATTTCTGTAGTTCACTATTATAATTAAATTACTAGAAAAAAAAATAGAATACAGATAAACATATTGAACAAAAAAATAAAAAGAAGAAGAACAATAAATAGACTATACTATTAATGGAACAAAACAATAATTCCAATTGGATGAAGGATCTAAATGTTAACAATAGCATTAATGGTGATTATTCTCTACAAAACTCTAATATTATGAATAATAATCAGCAACAACCAACACCAACTTTTGATGTTGAAAACGGCAATTTGTTAAACAATTTACTGGAAGAAGAGAATGATTATCAAAAGAATGGTAAGACTAGATCTAGAATTCCTAGAGGAACTCTAGACATTTTATTAAAGGAATTTCAAATAAACAATTCCCCAAATAGTGGTGATAGAAAGAGAATAGCTGCTCAATGTAACATTGAAGAAAAAAGAGTAAGAATTTGGTTTCAAAATAAAAGGGCCAAACTGAAAAAACTGCAAAACAGTATTCAAAACAATAATGAGAATTTTGGAAATGAAAACTATAATACTCTTCAACAACAAAACCAAACAGGAAATACATATGATCCTAATTATGAAATATTTGAGGATAAATTTGAAATTGAACCATTGTTTGATAATGTTCCTTGGGGTTTGAACCATAACTACCATTTTATAGATTCAAGTTCAGTTAGTGTTGGTGGTTGGAAAAGGTTGAAAAATGGTCATTTATCAAAAGAAGATGAAAATGGTGTGGAAATTGATAACTCTCATGTAATGGAATTAGTAACAAATCTTTCTAATTTATCTCCAAGATCAATTGATTCTATAATGGGAGATGCAACTGATCTTCTGTTGATCATATCGAAAAAAAACAATGAAATTAATTATTTCTTTAGTGCAATAGCTGATGACAGAAGAATTTTGTTTAGAGTCTTCTTTCCAATATATACTGTGGTTAATTGTTCCATATCTGTTAGTAAAGAAAGACCTGATACAGGTATGGAAAGTGATGATGATGATAATAATAATTTAAACACACCAGATAAATCTGATAGTAAAAAAAAATATGGTAATGAGGGAAAAGATGATGATGAAGAAGATGAAGATGAAGATGAAGATGAAGAAAATGAAGAAGAATTGAGTCAATTAAGTTTAATGTTAAACAAACCTCCTAAATTTGCCGTCTACTTCACTGATGGTGATGAAAATGATGACAACCAATGGAATATTTGTGATGATTTTTCAGAAGATAAACAAGTGAGTATGTCATTCATGGGTTCATATGAAATACCTCATATAATAACAGGTCTGGAAGACTCTTTGAAAAAAATGAATAGCTTGATTTTAGAATATAATAGTAAGTTTGGTGGTATCTATCATGTTCCTCCACAACAACAACAGCAGCAGCAACAACAACAGCAAATTGATTTTTCAACTTCTGAAAATACAATGCTTGCAAGCAAACAATCTAATGACCCAAATATGCAATTATCAGAATCAGTATTGAAAAAGTCTTTGACTAATCCCTTTGCTAACTCTGATTTTGGATTTTCACCAACACCTTCTAATGGTGTTAACTTTTTCCAAATTCCAACATCTCCAAATTTTTTAAGTAGTAATAATAATACTAACAACAACAATCCTTCTAACAATAACAACAATTATAAACTACCATACATGGAAAACCCATTAATAAATAATAGCATCAACACTAACATTAACAATAGAGTTTCAAGTAACAACGGAACCAGCTTATTAAATGAACACACAGTACCTAACACAATGGACAATCAACATATACAAAATATGAATACCAGAAACAGCAACAGTGGATTGCTAAATATCAATGATTCTTTAATTGATGATGATGACGAAATGAAAAACGATCTATACATAAACAGTATGCTTGATTTAAATTAGCTTAAATCATATAAATTTATATATGTATATACTTAAAACTTTTACAACAGTAAATATTAATAAAACGATTAACCTTACAATAATAATAATAAAAAAAAAAAAAATAAAGACTACTTTTTTCCCCCTTACTCTTTTTCCTACCCAAATTTGCTAATAAAAAAATAAATTATTCACTACTATATTCAGGTGGAACAGTTGGTGGCATAAATTTCATGCTAATTTGATCACTATTTGAAATGCTATTTAGTAATGGAGTATCATTTTCATTTTCTTTCTGCTCAAAATCAAAGAAAGGAGCAGGTGGTAATAAATCTATACCTCTTTTCATGAAAAATGATTTTTTTCTTCTATTATTACTACCAATTCTTTTGGCTCTTACAGTACTATTTGCTAATAATCCATCATTCTCTTCTTCATCCCATTCTTCATCACTAAGTTCTTCTTCATCCTCTTCCTCATCGCTAAAACCTTCCTCCAAAATAAAATCACCACGAACTTTATCATATGCAGGTGGTGGCAGTTTCATACCATTGGTATTACCGTAGCCCCATTTTTTAGAATTGGCTTCAATGTAAACAAAACCTCTACTACCAAAATTGAAATTTAACTTACAAACCATTGTAGATCCAACACATGGATATAAATACTTTGGTTTCCATTTTCTAACGTGACCAACTTCATATTCTCTTATTTTTTTACCATTTTTAGTGAAAAATACTGTACCGGATCTACATCTGTATCCAACACCTATAATATCACTCTTTTTATAGGTTGGTAGAGAAGCAACTATTTCAATAGGCAGTTCAAAAGAAGTACTCAATCTTCTGTCACCATTTGAATCATAAGCGACAGAATGATGATGTCTTCCAGGTAATCTGAAATCAGGATATGGTAGAGTAGTCAACCCAATGGATATCATTTCTTTGTTGGAACTGTTTAATTCAGTACAACTAGGATCATTGTTTAGTTCTAATATTTTACATTCATAATAGTAAACTCTTTTTTTGTATGGAATAGGTAAATTTGTCCATGTAGAAATTTCATAACCATTATTTAAAAAATGTAAATCTGTTTTATCAGTGATTATCAATGAATCATTTGGCAATGTTACACCATTACTGTTACTGGAGGATAAAGAAGTGTTACATGTTTGTGTAAATTCCCATGCTTTAGCACCTTCTTCTTCAATATATTGTAATGTTTGTTCTGTCATGATAGGATCAAAATGGGTATCAACTAAGTTATTCATTAAAAATGGTGGATTCATTTTTAAAAAATCTTCACCTTGCTTATAAAAAAATTGTTCATCCAAGGGCAAGTTTTGTAATTTTTCTTCAATAGTCTCAGCAGAAAAAAAATCTGTATCTAAATGTTTATTATAATCATATTTAACAACTTCTTGTTGTGTTGAGCGAAGGTTTGTATTATTATTTTGTGTATTTTCCTCAAGTTCATTATCTTCCGATTCACTCAAATGTACAAATGGGCTTAACATTTTGATTGTCACATCTCTTATAATACAGTAAAGCAACACTAAGGAAACCACTGCCATTAAAAGAATACCTCCAAGTATAATCAAAAATATGAAAAAATCTATTAACCCTAGTTCTTCAGTTTCATTTCCGTCTGTTGTCGATTGAGCATATTCAATCAGACCAGGATAATCATCTGAAAATCCTCTATTGTTAAAATTTAAATATTGAATATAAACCATTTTATTAAAATGGATATATATTATAGTTTATTTATTTGTTTTTGGTTTTTTGGTATCTGTTTGGAAAAATAAATAATAATAATATATTTATAGAAATTTACTCACTTATCTTCTAGAAAAAATTTAAAAAAAAAAATAAAAAAAAAATCGACAATCCGAAATCAAGGTTATATTTCTATTTTGGTAGGTAAGTGCAAAAAAAAAAAAAGCCGACGCAGACAAATTTATTATTTATATAATAAAAAAAATCATTTTACATTTCCCCGCAAAACTTAAAAATAGAAACAATTCCACGTGATATCAAGCAAAAAAATAGAAACAATTCCACGTGATATCAAGCAAAAAAATAAAAAATATAACTGAAGGAAGCGAGGTTCGAACTCGCGCGGACTCTGTCCAACAGATCTTAAGTCTGCCGCCTTAGACCACTCGGCCATCCCTCCAAATAATATCTTATGATATTTTGTTATGACTGAGATTGTATAGTAAGGTGTAGCGGTGTCAATCAATAAAGATAAGAAAAACTAAAAGTATAAACTCTAAGTAAGAAGGTGGAGGTTAGTGGAATTAATAATAAAGATAACAAGTATAGATTATAAGTATATAATATATAATTGAATATGAATTCCTGGGTTATATAAATTATTATTCTTTTTCTTCAATTGCTAAGATTAATTTAATACTTCATTTCATTACAAAGAATTAATTAAATTCAAATCTTTCTTTCATAAATAAATTATCAAAAAAACAGATTCATTTAAATAGTGTTGCTTTTTATTTTATTTTTATTGGAAAATAAAATAAACCAGTTTTGTTGAAGAAAAAAACATCAACAGAAAAATAGCTGAATTTAATTATAAAAATAATTAAATCACAATATTATTTTAAGTCACGTTTTTTTCTAATTTAAACTAGCAACAACAAAATGAATCATAACAATATTGATATTTTAGTCGAAAATATAATATATTGTATATAATTAAAGGGTATGCTATTTTTTTAAACAGTGTAGTTTTTGTTTAATTATCTTCACAGATGTTTGTTTTAGAAATTATTTAAAGGCAATTGTAACAATATAATATAAAAAATTAATATATAATTTATACTATCTTGATTTATATTTTTATTAAAAAATATATATTTTATTTTTTTTTACAGCATTTTTTCTAAAGATTGTTGAATATCATTGATTAAATCTTTGCTTGCTTCACAACCAATACTAAATCTAATTAGATTCATTGAAATATGAGGATCGGTTAAACATCTTATTTCAACTAATGACTCAACACCACCTAAGGAAGTGGCATGTTGGAAAAATTTCAAATTGGTAACAAATTTTTTGCAAGTTTCAAAATCTTTTAAATATAATGAAAAGACTGGTGTTGTTAAATCACCACTCAATTGATCTTTAACAAAAGAATCAGTTTGCAATATAGCATGAGTTATTTTTAAACCAAGAGATTCATACTTGTGCTTATTTTCAGTTAACCAATTCACAACATTAGTAACATTAACACTTTGTTGTTTGAATCTCATTTCATAAGTTCTCAAAGATCTTAACAGTAAATAAGCTTCCAAATTACCAATATTAGTACCTAAATAGATTCTATCATTTTTCAATACATGATCAATTTTAGAATCTCTGGTGATTAATGCACCAGCCAATAAATCTGAATGACCACCAAAATATTTTGTCAAAGAATGCATGATAAAATCAGTATCATATTTCCAAGGATCAACAGTTGGTGGTGGGGCAAATGTAGCATCCCAAACAACATATGCTTTTTTAGAATGGGCAAACTTTATATACTTGGCTACATCTATAACAGTACCATATGGATTGATAGGAGATTCTAGATGGACTAAATCTCCTTCTTTTAAATGTTCAAATACATCATCCAAGTTGGTGTATACCTTAACACCATGATTTCTTTCCCAAATTCTGGTGATAGATTTGACACCATGATAACAGTCTTGGAAAAAGACTTGTTTTGGATTAATATAAGTGATAACACCATTGAAAGCAGATAAACCAGAGTTGTAAACTGTTGTGTAACCCTTGAATACATTATTTAAATTAGTCTCTAATCTAATGTTGTTAGGGTGAGACAATCTTGAATAAATAAAATCTTCATTCAATAATTTGTTTTGTTCTTCTTCTGTTTGGTCTTTCCAAGGAATCCAGTCGTCTGGATTTTTAGAGTATCTAAATGTTGTTGAAACATTAATAGGTGGAGCAACATCATTGACTACTCTGTTATTTAAAGCATCATCTGCATGAATCATTAAAGTGTTGATATCATAGTCATCACTTTCAGAAGAAGTTGTAGATTTATAATCGTTATTAGTAATACCCATTTATGTAGTTTTGTTCTTTGTTTAATTCTTGGTTTCAATGTTTTTATCTTTATTAATAATAATAATAAAAAAAGAAGATAATTAAAGTTACTAGATTTTATACAATCATAATCAATCTATGAGTATGATAATTTAATATCTATGAATAATATTGTGTATATATAAAATATAAAGGTTAGAAAAAAAAAAGTTTCTTACACAGTTTTTTTTTTTAATATTTATAAATATGTTGCTTTTCTAGAAAGTAATTTTTTTTATTTTTTTAAAAAAAAACCCCGTTAAGCTTATTCAATTTTCGGTTAAACCATTTCGTTTCTAATATCACACATATATATAATATTCACAGTTTTTATTTGTTTTTAGTAATATTGTTAGATTATTTATAATTTATATATATATATATATATATATATATATATATTTATGTTTTTAATATAAAATTATTCAGCCATGTTCTTCTTTTCATTTAGAGTGGGTCACGTGTACATTACACATTTATTTACGTGTTGTTTTTTTTTTTTTTTTAAAAGGAAACATTTTTTTCTTTTACAAGATTATTAATGAAATATTTACAATTGAAGATATAGATTAAATAATCAAAAACCATTAGTCATATAATAAATTAAAATGTCTGATATTAAATCAGATAAAATTGAAAATGAAACAGAACTAGAACTAACAGTTGATCCTGAAATACATGAAAACCATAATTTTAAAAAATTGTTCAATGTTATTTTATTTTTGAAAATCACAATAAACTTGATAATACCTTTATTGCTAGCTATTCATACAAGAAAAGGATTTTTTCAGCCAGATGAATATTATCAAACCCTAAATGTAGCTTATAATAAAACATTAGGCATATCTTCATCTGAAAATACATGGGAATGGAATAATAATCTAAGATCATATCTATTTCCTTTTATAATTGAAGTCTTTGGTTATAGATTATTTGGTTATTTAATACCCACTGCTGTTTCAATATATCTAAGTTATGTTAAAGATTTAATGATTATTTTTAACCAAACAGTTTTCCATCAGAATCAATTTTTGATTGAATGTTCCC